TTGTGAATGAATAAAATCATAGAGAATGTACCTCTGTGGCCAGACGAAGGATGAACATGGGCAGTCCTTCCAGCGGTGGAACATAGTTGTCTATCAAGAGTGGCAACCCAATGAGGTTTCCTTCCTGCAAGAAACCACTGCTGCTTCAGTAAACCCCAAATGTTCATTTTCCAGTAACTGCACCAAAAACCTGTTTGTATTGCAAAACTGATTCCAACCAAAAGCACTGAGCCTTTGGGGTAGCTGAAGTTACAAGCCTGGTGGGAGGCAGACACTGCAGGAAGAAGGTCACTGGTGGTTAGGCTCAATTGAGGCCACTCAGCTTAGGAAGACCTGAATTCAGCTGCCTCCTCTGCCCTCTAGCCCCTGACTACACGGATCCCGCTTCCCAGGAGAATATCCAGGTGGTGTGTGGGTTACATGAGCAGTTCAGTTTTGTACAGAGGAAGGGATGTATTGGGCCAGACAAAGGCAAGGCACAGTGAGAGCAATGGGGATGCTCTAACAGCTGCAGCCAGGCAGGGCTAAGCTGCACAGCTTGCTGGGTAAGAGATCTACATCCTAGTTATGGAAGCAACGACTAAAAGCATTTTATTTGGTAACTAACAGAATGTAAACTACTCTGGGTAGCACCCTTCTAAAATCCTAAAAGGGCTAAGCAGAGCTAGTTCTTGGTGGTAACTGCAGGCAAACTACCGCAGTTACCTACCAAAATGTAGAAGCATTGAATCTTTTAGGTTGGAAAAGACCTTTAACCATAAAGCCAGCACTGCCAAGGCCACCTCTCAGTTACTGTTAGCAGTAAGAGCAGCAGTTACCTCATCAATTTCAAGAGAAAAATAATCTTTCAGCATTTCAGTCTTCTTTTTGAGGAACTCCACGATGTATTCAGCGAGCCCTTCCTTTGGGCCATCTTCTTCTGTCCAGCCACTTTCAGGGTCCTCTAAAGCAAGCATTGAAAGTTCAAACAAAGGAGCTGGCTCCTAAAAATGGAGGAGGCAAAACTGTTGTTAATGATCAACATGCTCTACTGGAACTCTGTAGCTGCTTCTTACACATACAACTAATTGTCATCTACCACCTCTGGCCTGCAGAGCAAACAGTTCTGCTCATCAGAGCCAAGCTCCAAAGCAGACCAGTAATTCTACGTTTTATTCTTACTGTAAACAAATGCAACATCAGTCTTGGAGTGGACAAACCCCAACATGTGAAACTGCATTTCCCTGAGAGGACAGGCTTCTTGTAAAGAAATGCTTTCAAAATATAATGTAAAATTGTACTTACAGACAGGAACTGCATTTCCCTGCGAGGACAGGCTTCTTGTAAAGAAATGCTTTTAAAATATAATGTAAAATTGTACTTACAGACAACCTTAAGACTCCGAAGTTTGCAAAGTCATAAATAAGTATCTGGTAGAAGAGTTCTTGGCTAAATTGGAAGTACAGAAGTCAGTTATATGGTCAGGATCATGTCTCAACCAAAAGTAAGGCTCCTCTTGGAAACACCAGATGTGCACATCCAGTACCACTAACACAGACCTGAACACTTTAGTTAAAGATTCACATGCACTATCCAGATGCCGACAATTAAATCTTGTTTCTTGGTTGCTGACACGGGCCACACTGGTACCCACTCACACGTGGAGCCACTATCAGGTTATCCCAATACCTTGTATTTCAACCTCTTTGCTCGAACTATGTCTTTCCCTTCCCCAGCCCCTGAGCACACAGTACAGCTGCTGACACTGATTCCCTGTCACTTCTCCCCAGCACAGCAGGCTCCATTTCCACTGTTGTGAACTTACTGCTTCATCTTTAGCCTGTGACTTTTCAGATAGGCAACAAGTAAATGATGTTGTTGTCC